GGCCGTACGGTTGCCTATAATTGCTTACATCCACTTTATTTGAACTTTGGTGGATAGTTGTCATTTGGCAATCATACCTCATCTCCTTATTTTTATATTAACGGTATCAATTTTACTATACCAGATGCGCATTTTGGCAATCAATGTCCCTTCAGTGATGCTCCAAGCTAAAATATTTGAGTATCAAAACCTGAATATAAACTTTGAAAAGCTAGTAAAACACAAATGACCGAAAGAAAAGCCCAAACATGAAAAGGAATAATAGCTATGAATGAGGGAAATCAAATTTTTGCCAAAACGGCATTGAACTCGTCATGGATTTTTCAATGTCATATGTAACGAGTTTATGGTGATTATAATGGTAAGGAAATTATTGAACCAATGTTTGCGTATATACTAGTTAACTAAGTCGTCTGTGTACAGGTTTTCTATTGATCAAGAATATTCAGTCGTTGATTGTTGATCGAAAACTTTGGCTGCTAACTTACATTTGGATTTTTGTTTCGAGGTATACCGATCTTGATCTCTTGATAAACAATCAACACATAATTCCGGAGCAAGCAAAACCTAATTGAGATGATAAAGTGATGATGATTTTTTTCATATGTTCAAGTGCTCTCATTAGTTGATTAAACTTTGTCGTAACAATTGTGAAATGATTTGGTGTATTATTATTTTTTTTTTCTTCCAAAATCGATTAAAACGTTTTTTGCACGTTTGTTTACCATTTCTTTGATCACGTTTAGTCGCGCTGTGTGGTTGCCGAATTTCTAACCAAAGATTTCGTAGTTAAACTTACTCTATACCGATAATCTGTCGGCATATTATAGTACAGGAAGACAAAAATTCAAAGGCAGTATATCTTTATTGATTTGGAAACAATAAAGGATTTGCTATTTAAGGAAGTCTATGTATACGTGTTTTATAGTAAAAATTAGCCATTCTAGAATATAAATCATATTTAACTTTTTTGGGGAAATATGAAGTACATATGACCTGACCGACTTACAAGATAATCAGTGTTTCTACACATTTAAACGAAACTAAAAGATCAAATCAAAAATACGACTTTTTAGATTGATAGATGACTAATTAAAGCATAATTGTATGTATGCAAACTGACAGAAAATTTATTCAATTTTTTTCATTAGATACATTCAATATAATAGTATATAGATGGAACTGATCAAAAATGTCCAATTGGTTGTTTTTACAAATTGGGGTCTACATAAATGCTTAATCATTTCTCTCGTGTCGTGGTCTTCTCCTTCGTAATTTATTTAGCTTTTTTATCTTTTATGATCCGAACGTCACTGATGAGTCCTTTTAAGACGAAACGCGCGTCTGGCATACAAAATGTTATTCCTGTTATGATGAGTTTCTTTATGACTAGGTTCATTAAAAGTCGTTTTTCCTCCTTGATAATCCCACGATATTGAAATTCAGACAAAAAATGGTCGCCGATTGTTTGTTACAGTGATTTGTCAACCAGCTCCTTGTTGCCACAAATGCCTTTCGAAAACAGGTTATAATAGTGCAATTTTCACATATCAGCGTCATGAATATGCACGCACTATTTACTTTATATTCTTCGAGCAACAGCTATTAATTAATCAAATAATCATTAAATCTCTTAATTAAAGATTCCGACAATTTGAAACGAAAGCAATTTCATACGGTATGGTATCTAAATTATGATCCCCTAGTAATTCATACGAAAAGTAAGCTTTGCTAACGACGGTGATATTTTGTGTTTAGGTCTAGGTTAGTCTATGAAAAGGTATATGATATGAAATTTAGAGCGAGGGGCTTGCCCTGAGCTTTTAATTCATAGTATATACCTTTTCATAGACTATCCAATTTAGCACATATTTACAACTCGAGTAACCTTTTAATTGATCTATTGATAGTTTATTTTGGCTGACTACTTGTATCACAGGTGTTTGTAAAACGGAGCTCATTAACGAAGTTTTGTAAATCTACTCACTAGTATCATTGTAAAATATGTGATTTCAAAAGGCCTTTGACTCCAGAATGAAAAGATGGTAGCTGCTGGTGTAAGTATATTTATTGGTATAAAGCGGTGTTTTACTATACATGTACTTCCTTACATGGTAAGATGACAACATAAATTGACCAAAAGCAGGCAATAATTAAATTGCAGTGGAAGCTTTACATGTCTTGAAAACATTTTTCAATTTCACAGTAAAACTAAAGCTATAATAAATTTGAAACATATAGATAGTATGCAGTGGCGGATCCAGGGGGGGAGAGGTCGATTGTTGGAAAACCCCATTTTTGGACGATCAATGCTTTTGAATGGAGACATATGGTTGAATCCCCCCCCCCCCTTATCCTGGGTTGGAACCCCCCTTTTAAAAATGGCTGGGTCCGCCCCTGGTATGTCCCCATAGATAGTCTAGCGGATAGTCATTAAAAAGCAACTACCAATATATCAAAGATACTAGGGTTTATTTATTTCAAAGTAAAAACTAAAAGATGTATCAGAACATGTATATATATATATAGGTTTGAACGTTGTTTTCAATTTAGACTTGTTTATATTTTTTCGTTTGGGCTTGTATTATATTTTCCTTCGGGTTTATATGATCCGTTCATCCTATTTCGACTCTTTAAAATTCAAGAGTCTATCCTAAATTGAGGTAAATTATATGGCCTTCCAAATACCGTTTCGATCCCTAACATCACTGCAGAGACATTAATTGTCGAAATCCGGATATGGTGTACAAATTTTTGCACCTCATAGTTGTGGTATACCATCTTTTCCACAAGTTTATTTTTTTTTTCTGTTTTGTATTAAATTACTATTAAGATCATTTTGTTACATCTGTGATCAATTTATTTGGCAATCGCCAATGGCAGTCAGCAGGGTTTAAGAACATCCGTTGTTCGACCTGTTAGTCAAATGCGTTTTGTTAAAATATACTTTTTCACTTTTTTGGTCTTTTGGAAAATGTTGTTTGTGCTGTATTTAGACCCCTTTAACAAGAAATTTGTTTTACATGCACACGTATAAAAAATTGCGGTTTTTATCCAACGCAATCATAGGTTTGAACGTTGTTTTCAATTTAGACTTGTTTATATATATATATATATATATATATATATATATAGGTGGCACATTCTCTTCAGACATTATTACGGTTTTTTAATTCATGACATCGTCCTGAACATGCATGAACTATTTGCCACTGGACATTAATCAACCAATAATCAATCAATCAATAAATTCATGACGAAATAGATCAAGTTGCCTTAATTTCCCTTCACAAGGTTACATAGTATACACACTTTTTTGTGTACAAAGTAATTGTATGGATGATAAATTATCACAGTTTTAAGATGGCGTTGTACTCTAATCAAGGTATAAAGAACCATATTTGTTTCTCTTTATTTAAATGAAAGAAACTTGCAATCGTCAAAAACATTTTTTAGATCCAAAGATTTTAATAGCAGGATATTTAAAAATAAATGTGCAAACTATATTACCAACTATTAAATTTAATTTGGAGCACAGCATTTTATTTCAAAATAGCCAGTGGCAATTTTTTGTTTTAATATCTTGATTACGATACAATGAAATCTTACCCTTGTGGTTATTCATGCGTAGTTACTTAGTACACGGAAAAAGTAAGTACTTTGAAAATTAGAAGGCAAATTGTAACAAATTGATTGGACGAGAAGTTGTGAGTATGTGCTAATACTGATTATCTTTTAAATTGTCCTTTGATTCATGTATAGGGCTTTAAAGTACAGCAGCGAATATTTCCCAATTTTCAGAACGTCATGTAAAACATATTAACTCTTGACTAATAACTCGACATGTGTTTACCGTGAATTGATTTGTTTTGAAAAGACACAGAAAATTCATTATTTGTTATTTTTTTTCCTAGCTTGCTGATGATCATCCAGACTTGGACTTAGAACAACTAAGGCGATGTACCTATGAACCGTCCTACGAAGTAAACAAGTGTATACATGTGAAATACAAACTAACGCACGTCTTGACACTCACTAGCACTCACATTTTGATACTATTTTAAAGTTTATCTACCAGGTCAGTACTGTGAAACCTTTCACCCTATATACTTAGTGTAAATTTATCGGTATAAATATCAGTCTTTTTAAAATAAAATAAATTGCCTTTCAAGTCACTGCAGTACAACAGTTGCTCAAAATGATGTTTACTTTGCTACTTTGCTTGATTGTTAGCCAGGTAAGTAAGGGATATGTTTGGTAATTTTAAATAAACAATTTTAAAAAGTTTAGAATGCGTTTGTAAATTGTACTGCCGTTGTAAGCAATAATTTGCCTACACAGAACAGTTTTGGTTCCAACGACGAAGTAGATATGCTATGAACAGACTTATACTTATGTATACTAGTTCATTTGTGACAAAAATCTTTATGTACAAATGGAATCAGTAGGTCCATTTTGAACTGACAAAAGTCACAAACTTTAAATTAAAAATGTTACGCTTTGCACGGGAGTGGCGATTTACCTCTTGTAAGAATTGAAATACTATGAAATAGCAAAATATATTGTGTTGAATGTAAATGAAATACGTTCGAATATCTATTGCAATTATTTCACAGTTTATGAATAAACTCATCATAGATACAAGGATTAAAATGTTTTTACGCCAGACGCGCGTTTTGTCTTCAAAAGACCCACCAGTGACAATCGAATAAAAGTTCGAACAGAAAATATGTAATAATTGAATGCCACATGCAACGAAAGACGAGTAGTATCGAAACATTTAATTATTTAAGTTATAAATTCTACTATATGATTTAAAGCAACACAACGACGTCAAGTCTATTAACGAACAGTAGCTTTGGTGTATACTTATCATTATAATGTTATTTCATATAATGAATTGTTTTTTGTACATCTAAATTTCAGACCATTGCAACAACAACAACGGCTCCCTCAAGTACAAAACACCAAGCTACGCACAATCATCGCACACATGGAACCCATCCTACAAAGGAACCAGCAGAAACTGATTCATTCAGGTTCAAATATGATCCTCTCACAGTAAGTTGACATTATTTCGACTCAACATAAAATACCATGTTTCGTAATCCAAAATGCTATTGTTACATAGACGTATATATATTTGATTTGCATATATTTTATTGGATTAATTTTGTATATCTATAATGGAAAATAAGAAGATAAAAATAATAATTTTCGGCAATATAATCTCATTTCGAAATGTTTTTTTGTGAATTCAAAGTAAATCAATCAGTTATCAAAATGTAATTTCATGGCATTTTATTACCGACCAAGACCATTCCTTTACTGACGGTTCCATGTTCTTTGTATTTATGTGAATTTGAGATGGTATGGGTGATCTATACCAAACGATATAGAAAGAATTTCGTCTTGTCAAAAATATAGTACCGTACAAGACTAAATATGCTTTTTTTATACATTAAGGAATCTGGCGTTTGTCTTATATTAAATATTAGTCTCTATTAAATGCATTCATAGTTTTTTATACCCTGGGCGAATAGAATCTTAAAATTCATATATACACCAGTCTCTACAAATGAGATTCATATAATGACCACTTTTTACTTTGTTTGAGTTGTTGCGTTGTTGACACATTAAGATGTATACCCTTATATCTCCATTTGGTTTCACAAAAGCTTCGTTATTTGATATTTTTACAAACAAATAGTTTTTGTATGGTAATTTGGATCCTTAACACATGCAAACTCAACAGTAAAGTTCCATGAATTATTTTATTCCGAAACAGTATCTGCCTTAGTATACAGGTTTGCCTTGAGCATTACTGAAGTGACATTAATTGTCAAAATGCGTATCTGCTGCAGTAAAATCGGTACCGATTGTGTTATTACCAGTCAATGCGAGATCAAAGTTTAGACCTAGCTTCAGCATGCAAATAACCACTATATTCAATTAAATATTTTACAGCATCTTATGGTTGCAATGACACATCATAAATGTTATATCTACACATTGATGGGTACTGAATCAACTGATGTTCATACATCTCATGGTCTTCATTTACTTGAGGTAAGTTGTTATCCATCATGAATCTAAGACGTTTTACTCGGAACTGTAAATAATGTATACCTACAGATCTGTTCAGATAGAAAGAATTTAACATTCATAAATGTAGACACCCACACATGCCTCCATTTTATTTGATTCATAAGGATCAGATTACATATATGTAATTTTAAAAATGAATTTTCTAAATGATTTCATATAATATTTATATCGTTAACATCATGAACATATATATTTTAATTTATGAATTTGTCATGTGTAAATAATAGTATAACCAAATAAGCATTATATGATAAACTTTAAATATCAAATGTTAATGTACACAACCATGTTATGCGTTCGTACCTTAACATTAAAAAATTAGAGGAAAATGAACTCCGTTTTGACATTTTTACCTTTTATGTCTTTTTGTTTTATTCACGCATCGTTGTCAATATAATGGAATTTGATGCGACTGTCGTACAAGTGAGAGGTTTAGCGCTATAAAACCAGGTTCAGTCCACCATTTTCTACATAAGAAAATGCCTGTACCAAGTCAGGAATATGACAGTTGTTGTCCATTCGTTTGATGTGTTTGTGCTTTTGATTTTGCCATTTGATTAGGAACTTTCCGTTTTGAATTTTCCTCGGAGTTCAGTATTTTTGTGATTTAACCTTTTAGGCATTTCCAATTCAATTTTATCATTATACATGTTTTATCTTTTCTATAATGCACAGATCAATATTCTCCCACACCAGTCCAGTTCATTAAAACCCCATTTGAATAGTAATTTTACAAATTACCAATTAATTCGCCTTAAGATCATTATTCAAATTTTCAACAAGAACAAATATCGGCCATTTAAAAATATAAGTATAACGAAAATTTAGAATTTTCTTCAAAGTGCCGTTTATCAAAAAATGTAGAATAATCTCAACTAATACAGCTCGCAAATGATTTAACATTTTGTCATGTTGAGGCATTTTATAGCTTACTATACGGTATGGTGGATGTTTCTTTTATTCTCAGGGAGAAATTTGTGTCCTTGACAATCATACCACGTCTCCTTTTAAAAAAAAAGCACAAGTTTAATTTATAGTTGGCCTATAGTATGGTAATAAGCCTTTTTTTTAAAGTAACACGCGTACACATTGATCGAGAATTAAACTAGTATGACTTTGATTTTTTTCAGACAAAACTTATTACTATGGTAGATGACAGTTCTATGACATACAGCTCCATGTCGCATGATGAAGTCACAGCCGCAAGTAAATTATTTGCCAGAAGTTGCAACAAGAGCGGAATGACCACATTCAAACTAAATTAAAAGTACTTTACGGTGCGTTATTTTTTCGTCTTGCAATGATTTGAAGGTCGTAAGATCCATCACTAACTATAATGATGACCGTAAGGTACATCAATAACTGTAATGCAGGTAAATAAAGATGAAAACAATGTTTTATTCTTACATTTAACAAAATGATTTCTGTTCTCCGTCTCCGTCAGAAGTGGGTTCTGTGACTGGACAAGCGTGTAGGAAATTGACATCGCAACTGCCAAAAGCCAACAATAGTTTCAAAGAAAAAATGCACCTTTGCTTGTTTTTCATGTACTGATGTGTTATTGCTGTTTGTCTTTCCGTCGTTTTGTCTTATGACAATTGTGTTGTCTGCATTTTTTGTACTAATAATTGCCTCCTTTGTATCTTCACTATTTTCTGAACATCAGATGAAGCAGTCTGTCTACTACTCTCATTTACTAAAATGATGGTTTGTTTTGCACAAGGTCAGTTTTGTTTTTGGCTGTTTCTGACGTCTTTAGGTGTAATACCACCAAATTACAGTGCGTCACATCCGGTTGCATACGAAAATAGGTCGAAAAAAAAATATTCCCTTGAATTTGACAGTTGTAGGTATTTGATCCTACATTTCATTGCAGTAAAACATTTCTGGGTCATAAACATATATCTTGGGTATTTCAAAGCACCAATGTTTTTTAATTTTGGGTTTCTATAGAATATTTTGGAAACTTGAGGTTACATGGTTACTAAAGCTTGTACACAGGTTAAAAAAGGGGGAACATTTGATTGGTTAACTTCCAGTGATGGTTATTTTCTTATATGCAATGAAATGTTATGTGAAATTTTTTCTATATTACTGGACAGGATAAAACTTTACTCATGCCAAGTATTTCTTTATTTGAAACAAAGATAAATTCTGCACAATTTTTTGAAAAGTGCAAATTTAACAAAGACTAATAGGGGAAAATCAATGGTGGTATTTCACCTAATATGGAAAGCTGTAAATGCACCTTTGACCTTGTGAGTACTTTCATGTGTTAAAATTTCTTGCTATTTAAGTGAAATATTACAAATAATGAAATATTCTGAGTGGATTGAGTCTCCAAAACACATTTTATGAGAAAATTTGCTTGAAATAGGACTTCACTATGAATATTAGTTGACAGAACAAGCCATACTTAGAGTTTTGGGGAGCTTTTTCTCCTTATTTCTTATATTCTGCTATACTAGAAAATTTTTCCTAAGAAATACTTTAAAAACTATATAGTTTTAAGTAAATGAAATTATTTTTAAAGCAGTAACAACAAATTATTCACCAAAAGAGAAGCTTTGTATGTCCCTCTCTGGAACACGGCGTAAATTTAAGTTCTACGTAAGGACTTATTGAAACCTCATTGGAGACAGTAAACTTTTATACGGATAGTTCATTCAGCTTGAATACTTCAATTAATCATTTATTATAACATTTCTATCATAAATGAGTGAAAGTTACCCTAAAAAGTAGAAATTTTGAGGAAATAAGAGGTATAAATGGACCAAAAGAGACCTTATTAGGAAGACAAAGAGGTCCATTAGTAGTATTTATCATCTTAAAGTCATCTTTTGTATCATATTCAACTGTTTGTAGGCAGATGAGATAAATATTTGATCATTTATTGGTCCACACTATATTCTATCATGATGCGGCTTGGTTTGGATTTTTCGAAGAAATTTTGCTCGAAACACTGTAGATGTCGTCTTACATTATACTAGTTTTTTCTCAAACTATTGAACTTATTATGACAGAACTTGACAGGAATGCTTGAAATAACCAGTATTACAAAGGAAAAAAGTCACATTCAGTTTATTTAACAAAAAAGTCTTCTTTAGGTGTAATACCACCAAATCACAGTGCGTCACATCCGGTTGCATACGAAAATAGGTCGAAAAAAATATTCCCTTGAACTTGACAGTTGTAGGTATTTGATCCTACATTTCATTGCAGTAAAACATTTCTGGGTCATAAACATATATCTTGGGTATTTCAAAGCACCATTTTTTTTTATTTGGGGTTTCTATAGAATATTTTGGAAACTTGAGGTTACATGGTTACTAAAGCTTGTACACAGGTTAAAAAAGGGGGAACATTTGATTGGTTAACTTCCAGTGATGGTTATTTTCTTATATGCAATGAAATGTTATGTGAAATTTTTTCTATAGTACTGGACAGGATAAACCTTTATTCATGCCAAGTATTTCTTTATTTGAAACAAAGATAAATTCTGCACAATTTTTTGAAAAGTGCAAATTTAACAAAGACTAATAGGGGAAAATCAATGGTGGTATTACACCTTTACACTAAATCCATTGGATGTTGTATGTGTACTGATTGATATTCTAGTCTTAGATGTATGATTGTTTTTCATTAGTTGTTATTGGCTTTGAGCCAGCTGTCAGTAACTGCGAGTACTCTCAGATCTGTACTTAGTTTCTGTTTAATGTTGGGATGTATAAGTACTCATCCAAGTCCACTCTCTGTTTTGTTAGATGTATTTTTATTTGTATCCATCTGATGAGTTAAGCCTTTTTCAACAGATTTGTATAGTTTGTTCTTATATTTAACTGTTACACTACTGTCCCAGGTTAGGGGGAGGGTTAGTAATGATATATAGGACTGGTCCGATTTAATGATAATATTCATATTTGGATATAACAAAACTGTAATTGTTTTAAAATGCAACAAGATGTTAGCTAGTTTGGTACTGACATGATTTATTATAATCCTTGCTAAGTTGTCCGTTTATAAATTTAGAAATTATAAAGAAACTAAGGTTTAAAATCCCTCAGGCAAAGTTGGCCTTAGATGGATTTGGCTTTTTTAAAGGTTATTGTGGGTCTTATAGCTCTTCAATTGTTTCGGTTCTACGGAACCCGAAATGTTAATTTCCGGATTTTGCGGGCAGCATGTGTCATTTTATAGACCAAATACGTCGCAACTCGGCTTAAAAGTAACAGTGTAAATAGAACTTATAAGCAAGAAAAGGTTATCTTGTTCACGATCAAGATATGAATATAGAACAACCAAATCTAATGTTTGAAAGAATGTGCTAACAAACATTAGGACATATTTGTTTCTTATCCTGCAATCAACCAACTGTAATTATACAAACCTCAGGCATAGAAATACAACTTTTTGTTTTCTCTTTATAGTATACAAAACGCGTCTACTGGTATCCTGTTTTTGATCTTAACAAACGGTAAAATGTACAACAAAAATCAGTTAATAACCAATCTATTTAAAATACCGGTCTATCGTAACTTGCGTATAACGAAATCAGAGATCTATATTTTAATTAGATCGGTTACCAACACAATTTATTTTTGGATCTTCTTTCGAGGTCCTCCTTTAAGCAATGGGTGTTTATCTAACCATGCAATTCATACACAACGACTAAAAACAGTTAAGCGTCAAGGTTAAATTGCAGGATAAAATAATAATTACATTGTCCAAAAATACGATTTTTTTTGTTAGTACTTACTACGAAACAGGAAATAAAGTTTCGACGAGCCTCGCTTTTTTTATGTGGTTTGATTGCCAATAACACAACTTTTGACCAAAGACCAAATGATGTAGATGTACGCAACTATAGGAGACCACGGCCTGCAACAATGAGCAAATCCAATTCCGAAAAGGAAACTATAAAAGGCCCCGGCATGACAAAGTGTAAAACAATCTAAACGAGAAAATCAACGGCCTTATTTATGTACAAAACAATAAAGGAAAAACAAATAGGACTGATAATTACCAATGGAAACCACTGAATAACAAGTTCCTGGCAGGCACATACAGAATGTTGCAGTGCTAAACATGTAACTGAGAACACAATCCTACCCTAAACTGGACAGTGGTGTAAATGCACAACATAATAAAAAGCTGAACAAAGTCAGTTGATAAAGGCTTGGCTCACCAGATCAACACAAAGCATACAATATAACTTACACAGACTAAAGACACAACGTACCGTCCTAAGAGTACTCTTAGTAACCCAGCTAACCCAAAGCAAAATATAACTAATAAATACTGTAAATCATATTTCCTAGACTAAAAGTATGTTGTACAAAACTGTATTGCATGTTAAATCTTTGATCTGTTAAATAGTACATGACAGAAGCAGAATGGTTTGAATTCAACATTGACATCGCAGTCGACATATTTGAAGAAATTAAAAATATGATTAAAAAAAATAAGCGGTTATAACAGATGTATAGTTGCCTGAATTGTAATCTCGTATAACAATTAAAATAATATCGAATCATTTGAATTCCCAAAATGAACAACAAAAATGAGATAACGAATACCAAAGAAAAAGCTTGTTTCCACATTTATATGTTATAATTTATATATTTTACAGCATATTATGGCCGCCATGACACATCATAAATGTTATCTTTACACCATGGCTGGCACAGAGTCAGCTGATGTACATACAACTCACGGTCTTCATTTACTTGAGGTATGATTATTGGCAATAGTCCATTTTCAAATTATCGATTTATAAAAGACCTTTTTTACATTCTCCGTTGATAAATTAAGAAATTATGAAGAAGTTTCAATTCCATTATGCATGTATTTTGCTATTTTGATATAAGGTTTGGTTTTGTACCTCCTCAAGTATTTAAGAATAGATACATCCTTCAAGTTGGCCTTCTCCTCATCAGCAGCTCGTGTTAACTATGTAATATAACTACCTTCTCGAACACAAGCTTGAAGTTTACCATAACGAACTATGATATTTTCATAATATTTCATATTTGCAATTAATGAAATTGTTTTAGTCGAAAGGAAATATTTAAAACATATAAGTGCTTTTAACCTTTAGAAGTACATGTACGCATAACCTATTAACCAATGCTGTAATTGACCTTTTAATGGGAGACCCAGTTTGTTTTGTTTTTTTAACTTTTCTCCCTTAGAAGAGACATACATTTTCATTGAAAATGAGGAGATAAAGGAAAGAAAATTAAATTATGTGCGTAATGCAGAAGCGGATTTAGGACGGGACAGGGGACTCGGCCCCCGTATAGAGCTTAATAGACCGTGTTTTTTTTACAAGTATCACTCAAAACGTTGGCTTGCCAGGTGGCCCCTTTTTCAAAATCCTAGATCCGCACCTGTTATGTGTGTAAAAATATTGATATCAGTAGTTATTTTTCAATAAAAGTTGGATAAAACGCCTAATTATCACCTCAACTTTTCATGTTTTGCATGGACAAAAGCCCATTATGTCCGATATAGAACCAGCTACAATTGGAAAAGGAATCAATTTGTGTTTAAAGTGTGTAATGACAGAATCAAATCGGTAATTGGCAAGTAGATTATTGAATAGACGATGGTCATACTTTTAAATACAAATCTATTTATCTATTCCGTAATTGACCCTCTAACTAGAGTTTCATTTGTACGAGTTCTTTCCCTTAAGAAAGCCATACATTTCCATTGCCAACGAAAATCACGCCGAAAGAGTAAATATATATGGGCGTAATCTGTATATCTTGAAATCTTATATTTTTTTATAATTTTATCTAATTTTTTTTTTTGTGATTTCAATAGTTGTTTTTCAATGAAAATTGGTTAAAACACCTATATATAAAATTTATACATATATCAACTTATCATGCTTTGTATGTGCAGCAGCACAGCTTCAATGGTTTTGGAAGCAATCTTCAATCACCAAAGGGAAACAACTTGTGTTAAAAGTGTGTAATAACACAATCAAATCGGCAATAGACTATTTTCATATTACCAACTTTTGACTCCGGATTATATAATTTTTCGACAGGTTACCTTTTCTGTGGTTAGACATCCTGGTACTCGGTCAAGTAAGAGCAACCAAAAAGAGAAAAATCAAACACATAATCCGTGCAATTTGAGGGGAAAATTTCTGTTTTCTCATGATTTTATCGCGTTAAGAAAATATAAAGCAGTTAATTTCCCCCATAAATTGTATCGATTAAAAGCTTGATTTTACTTTTTTACGTTGCTCTTACTTGACCGACCCGGTCACAGATTAAGTAACCTGTCGAAAAAATATAAACTCCGGAGTCAAAAGTCGGTAATATGAAAAAGGTCTATTGTCGTATAAACTATTACAGGTTTCTTGACTCTATAAGTTTAAGTTATATAGTAGAAAAATCTTTATGTGACACGCTGATAAATCATCATTTCAAAAAATCAATAACTAAATATGTGGTCCCTCTTTACTTATTTTCGAATATGATAGTTTATGCATCCCTTTAACAAGTAAAGGATGTTTATTACTCTTTTATTTTTTTGACTTTTTGGCAGATAATTGGAATTCTCTAGTTTTATCAATGTAGTACCAATAAAAAGTTGCCCGCTAACCCTTACTTTTCTTTTCACAATTGTATCACATATAGTTTAAAAAAACATTTTTGAAAATCTTATAAAATCCAAGTTATTTTTTCATAGTTTTTGACCAAAGAAAAAGGGCCCAATTTTAAATGTATGCGAGAATCATTTCCCACCAAATTTTCAATTGTTTATATCTCAAAAGCAAGGACACGAACCTGTCTTCTTTCTACTTACCATACTAAATAAGTTCCATTAGTTATATACTATCAATTCATATCAGTTTTTCTTACAGCTTTTTATTTTTGAAACAGAGGAGCGAACATCCTTAATACACAATTCATGCATTAATTTCAGACGAAACTTATTACCATGGTAGACGACACAACTATGACATACAGTACCATGTCACATGATGAACTGACCGCTATCAGTAAATTGTTAGCCCATACTTGTAACAAGGCTGGATGGACCACATACAAACTTAATTAAATTTAACTCTACATCGTTTATAAATGTGTCTGTGTTTTTATTAGAATAGTTCAATGTGCTATTTGTTTTCCTTTTTTGGTTATAATTGGCGGTTAGACATGGAAATTTCATAGTTTTTTAACACTTATATTGCACAACCCAGAAACTCCTGTCTACGAAGAAGTGTATCATGTGCACATTTAACCAACAATATTTTATCGATGTTCAAATCCCATTAATCCACCAAGAAGACAAATCGGGGTAACAAACAAAAAACGGAAGAAATCCCATGAACTCTTATTTCCAGTTCTGATTTATTTCTTTTTAATTAATAACGAAGGTCGGTTGAAAACAACTCTTTACGACAAAAGAGATGATTTCAGCTTCCCAATTGTGAACATTCGATTTCTATGTAGCAACATTCTTGCAGCGCCTGCATATGGAGTATATATCTGGCAGTTGATACGATATTCCATGGCATGCATTTCTTATCATAATTTTCTTGATAGAAGGTTGCTGCTCACAAGGAAGCTATTAAACCAAGAGTTCGAATTAAGAAAATTGAATCAAACCCCATCGAAAATTTTACAGACGCCAGTTGGAGTTGGTTGACCGTTATGGAATATCTGTTTCACAGATGACGACGGATATATACTAATTGTCGTTACCACAATCCCGTCCTCTTTCCTGCCGAATTGGACTTTTCACCGGTTTCTTCTTAGACGAGCGACAATGCTGGTGCCAGGTGTGGAGAAGGATCTGCCTACCCTTCCGAAGCAATTGATTTTACCTCTAGTTTTGTTTTAAAAGGTCGTGTTGCTCTTGCTCTTGCTTTAGCTTTTAGTGTTGTTTTTTTTGTTGCTTTTTTGTATTTTTAATGGATGTGATGTTTATACCGGTAACAGTGTTGTCTGTCCTTTAATATAAAAACGTTGTTTCAGTTTCAAAATATCACATTCGGTTAGGTTTCAGATTTAAAAACAAAAAATACATGACCGATGGTATAAAGGTTAATTTAGAGTCATTTACCAACCCCGCTATTGCGTGATGCTTGATCACTTGATATAACGTTTTAACATATTTTATAGGAGTAACACGACGGGTGTCACATATGGATCAAGATCTGCTTACCCTTCTGGAGCACCTAAGATCACCCGGTTTTTGGTGGGGTTCGAGTTGCTCACTCTTTAGTTTTCTATGTAAAAACTTTTGTTTTGTATACTGTCGTTTGTCTTTTGTTTTATTTTCGTTTTTTGCTATGGCGTTGTCAATTTATTTTCTACTTATGAGTTTGAAAGTTTCTTTGGCATCTTTCGCCTCTCTTGATGTTCCTTTATGCAGCGAACCGCTGAAAATTTGATACGCTAATAGGCGAGTGGCATTTTTTTTCAAAGAGTCTTAGTTAACAACTTTGAATTAGTGAACCTTCTAACATACACCTATATAATACACAATTCGAAAGCTTAATATCTGTGCACTTTGGTTTGCTCATCCAAAAGTCGTACGGTCAATTTCTGATATATCAGGGTCAAAGGTCAAATATACAGATTCCTAAATTTTCAAGAACTAGATAAAATGCCATATACCGGTTCTTTTAGTATTCATGGAGGAGATATGATAAGTAACATTGCAAAAGGTGTAGAATTCTTCGAACCTTTAAAAGAATATAGGCTGATAATATTTACACTTTTATTCTAAAAATGTAATATCTGATGTCATTGAGACTTAATAAACATGTAAAAATTGACATATTTGATCAAGTAATATCTTATGACATCTCCAGCATGTTATTTGATAAATGTATGATAATCATTGATTTTCGAATTAAATGGACAGAAATAGTGTCCATATCATACCTTCTTCTTTTTCATAAAAAAGAATTATGAACCTGAAAGAACAGAATACAATAATTCCTAACCAATCGCAAATTAAAAGGTCAATTACGCAATATTGACAGAAAATTGCAAATTTTGAAAAATCCGCTAAAATGATAAAATTTGTTGTAAAAGCAAACTTGTTCTGTCGAGATAAAATGTATATATAAATAAGAAGATGTGGTATGAGTGCCAATGAGACAACAATATATGCCTATATTAAACTTTTTTGGTTTTGCTTCATAAGCCTTTTTTTCATCATCCTAACCTACAATTAATGTTTAGTTTTCTGGAAACAGCATAATTTTAAAGCTTTTACAGCTGTCAAAAATAGTCATTTTTGTCGAATTCAGATCATAAATAATTTCCCATTATTGCTGAATTTTGGTTATGCAAGCTATGTCCAGTGAAAACACGTTTTTCAAACTTATTTACCTTTTTTATTCATGTTCAACATACCAACTTGAACTAATTCCCGGTGTTTGAAAGCACTTGATCGCCTTTAGATAAATTTTACCTGCGTCACCGATTGCAGAAACAGGTCCAGTAACCTCTCAACTCCGTCCGTACGTCCGTCCGTCTGTTCAAAACAAATCTTTCCTCAAAGTTTTCGTGGGTTCTATGGAAGGAAATGAATTAATATTTCGTCTTCAGCTTTATAAAGTTGAGTTGTAACGAGTAAGAAGTTTTTACATCTGCGATGTTTCCACTCCCTGTTTGCCGATTGTTTAAAATTTTACAACACTCATTGTACAAGGAACATGAAAGTTTTCTTGGCTTCAGTAAAGGGGAATGATCAGTTATGCTCCAGTATACATGTTACCTCAATCAATTACATGCAGCGACGCAGGTCCAGACCCGGTATTGGTATTGTTTATGATTTCAAAGAACCAGAAGTTTAAAAGTGTTGATTTTAAACTTTGCTTTTCCATGGGATTAATTGTATTCGTTATAGCATGTTTTTTTTTTTGCATTACTAAATAATTGTTATATTGTTTACCTGAAATATCTGAAGGAAACGATAATGACTTTTCTTTAAACAAGGATATAAGAATATGTTCACACAATTATGTCAATCAACAAACTTAAACACAAGCTAGGCGAAAACAAATACAATTTAATGTTCTCTGACCCCTCCCCTCCCCCTCGCGATAAATACGGTTGTGAAATTTTTTTTGGACAGGAAAAACTAGGATTATTTTATTATTTTACACACCTCCTATGGATATAAGAAGATGTGGTATGAGTGCCAATGAGACAACTCTCCATCCAAGTCAAAATTTATAAAAGTAAACCATTATATGTCAAAGTACGGTCTTCAACACCGAGCCTTGGCTCACACCGAACAGCAAGCTATAAAGGGCCCCCAAACATTACTAGTGTAAAACCATCCTAGTTTATTAATTGATTGGATTGATGAATTTGAAAACGAATTGTCGACAGCTATCAATCATAATTCAGATATTTTTTTAGTTGTTAATTTTAATACAGCTATTTTAAAACCAAATACACAACCTCTAAAATGTAAATCTCAACTAGATAACACAAGAAGCAACAAGAATTACTCCTGGTTCTAGTACCTTAATTGACCATGTTTATGTTACCAATAAGGATTTGATACTATAATCACATGTTGCTAAATTCTCGATAAGTGATCATTATCCAGTATATTTAAAAAAAAAGTTCAAACAACTATGTCTTGCAGAAACTTAAAAAATAATGAGAAATTTTTAAGCGACTTAGTTTTTGCACCTTTTGATAAAATTGAACATGGAAGTCATCCAAATACATGTATTCATATGTGATATGACATATTTAACGGAGTTCTAGATAAATATGCATCTATTGTTACTAAAAGAGTGAAAAGAAAAGACAACCTGATTAGTTCACTAATGAAATTATATATGCCAGGAAAAAAGAGAGACATACCATTAACTTGGAACGTGGTCTGAGTTCAAATTTGGCGAATCTTAGAGAAATTTTATTCAAAGATGGTGAAAAATTCAAAATCATCAACAGATTTGTGGAATATATTCACAGTCTAAACTCATTACAACAAGAAAAAGTACATTTTCAACTATATCTTTCATCAAAGATTTTGGTTCTGCAACATTTATTTCTAAGTTTAAGTAAACAAAAAAATCAAAATCATTATGTTTTGTTAGAATCTGTTTCAGTAGAAAAGTAACGCATTGTAACTTCTTTGTTTAGTCGTCGAAGAATTTGTGTATCTATACCACGAACAATACACGATAGAGTTGAAAGAACCTAGAAGAGAAGTTTTCTTATTCAAAATTTCACTTTTCATCTAACATTTGATTATCTTTTTATGTTTAAGCTGACTTTATACAAATAAACTGATTTTCATTTCTGTAAATGTTTCCCATGAAATTACAAATCAAATAATAAAAGAAGTCGGACGATTTATTCTTGCTAAAAGTTACAGTACATAATAAAATACCAAAGTTTCCCTCCTTAAATCCCAACTAAAAGCAGGAGTCCCGCGTGTATTATATCTTTAAACTTTCTGGCATTATAAGGAATAAGTTTCTTCAACCTAATATGGATCACATGTTTGTTTATTTTGTCTTTCTTTTAGCTTTTTGGACTTTGTGCTAATAATATCAATTAATCTATTTTCAACTGATTTTCACAGTTTGTTATTATGTTATGCCGTAACACCACTGTCCCAGGTTAGTGGAGGTTTGAGTGGGCACAAACATGTAAACCCCATAACATTCTATATGTACGGGTCATAAGTCAGGAGCCTGATATTCAGTGATTGTCATTGTTTGCTATCTATCTTATTTGGTTTTTTTTTATCGTTTTGTCATAAATCAGACCAGGCCGTTGGATACTTTCATTTGTTGTTTAACATTTTGTCATATTAGGGTCTTTTATAGCGGACTATAAGGTATGATTTTGCTGATTGTTGAAGCTATGCGATGACATTTAATAGCATAAATGCACGGCATCTAGACTCTGGGGGATAGCTGTCTCATTGGCAATATTCTCCCTTTTCATTCATAATATATAAGCTTTCTTTTTAACTGTTTACATAACTTTGGATTGTTCGAAATACTAAGTATTTTCTCCCCATGAAAAGATTACCTTAGCTGTATTTTACAATTACTTGTAGTATGTTTTTGCACCCGATGCTCGTCAACTTCG